TGACGCGGAGCGCTTTGCTTGGGGTTGAGCTCATGATAAGTAAGCTGCTCCACGCGAAACTGCAGGCGGTTAGCGAGGTTCCAGGCTTGCAATAGCATGTATGTGGACCAGACAATGGGATACATGACTTGGGCATCTATACGGTGTGTCATTCGCTCAGTCGACTGACCAAAACAGCCCACGCAGCTAGCAGTGGCTCAGACAGCGGCCGGCACGGACTGTCATTGGTCAGACCGCATATAGTCCGCGTACCTGCGTGGTAGGCCAAAGGCTGTGCACGTTCGCCGTGTGGGGGATTCAAGGCAGTGCACGCTCTCTGTGTGGAGCGTTCGAAACAGCGTACGCTCTCTGTGTGAAAGGTCCGAGAGTGTGTACGTTCCCCGTGTGAAGAATTCGAGGCGATGCACGCTCTGTGCGGAGGGTAAGAGAGTGTGTGCGCTCTCTGTGCGGGGGACTCCAGGCGGCCAGGTATCGGGGGCCGGTTGGCGCCGCGTTTTTTCAGCTGTCAGCGCTGCCGGCGCGGCCGACGACGGGTGGCGTCGATGGGGTGCCGATAGCCGGCCCCTCAAAAACACTGTGCTGGTATACCTTCTGCTGGGACCGTATCGCCACCCCGTTGGGGCTGGATCGGGCGCACCGCGTCCGCGGAGACGCCGCGCGTGGCCAGCGGCACCTTCGGCACGGATCGGTCGGCACTGCAGCGAGTGGAGACGCGCCCTCGGACGAGGCCGAGTGAAGACGCGATCGATGATGCGACCCCGGCGTCCAGAGGCTTTTGTGTGTCCCCGGTGTCCGGAGCCGCCTTCCGTCCCCGGCGTCCGGAGCTGCCGTCCGTCCCCGGCGTCCGGAGCTGTCGTCCGTCCCCGGCGTCCGGAGCTGCCGTCCGTCCCCGGCGTCCGGAGCCGCCGTCCGTCCCCGGCGTCCGGAGCTGTCGTCCGTCCCCGGCGTCCGGAGCTGCCGTCCGTCCCCGGCGTCCGGAGCCGCCGTTCGCCCCTGGTGTCGGGAGCTGCCGTTCGTCCCCGGCGTTCGGAGCTGCCGTCCGTCCGCAGTCCACGCGTTAACGCTGAGCTCGGTGTGCGCCGGGCCCTGCTCGCGCCGGACGGCGGCCTCTGTTCTGGGAGCCCGGCCGGGTCCAGTGCTCTGCGGTGGCCGTCAGATGCCAGTCACGGCTGCTTGACGAAACCCAGCCTCTGCAGCTGGTGCAACTGCATACCAACAACAAGCTGCAGCACACGTGCCACCAGGTCGCTAAGCGGTGTCGGCGGGGATCATTGGCTGGAATCTACGACGGCTTAACGCTCACATGCCCCACGTATGTAGCTGAAGTTTGCAGCAACTTGTTTCATACGCAATCAGCGAGGAGAAGAATAGCTAAGGGCCTCGCCAAGAAGCGCTCGATGCCAAGAGTGAGTTTTAATTGTCATGTCGCGTGAGCTCGACAGGTGTTTTTATGTGACGTGAGGATGCAATGGCGTTTTCAATGGCTCAGTGTGTCACCCGCACCTTGAATAGTCCGCATTTTATTAGCACAGCAGGGGATTTGAACGTCAAGAGAGCTGTCAGCCTGCAATAGCTTACTGGTGTCGCTGAGAGTGATCTCATCAGCATGGCTTGTGTAGTCAAACCATGCGGTTCAATTGATGGCGACTGCTCTGAGGGTCGCCGTCTTTGTGCCATATCAGATTTGGAAATGCAATATTAAGCAAAGACCGCCGCTGAGCTGACTCCGCTCTCTCCTGCTTCTTCCCATGAAGAACTTTCCCCTTGAGAACGTAAGTTATCAATGTCAACAGCGCTGTTCCACCATAGCTGTCTTACAAAATGGCTTGGGCGCAGCTCCTTGTGGGTAAGAGCCGCGCCAGAGATGTGCCAGAGCTGTGTCTTCGTGCTGTGTGCACGAGTACCGTGCTGTTTTTGTGTGCCTGTCTTTGCATGCCATTCGTTTCGTTCTCAAGAGCATTACACAAACATTGCATCCATGCAGGCATCCCCTAGCTGCGGAACCACTTGGCATGCGGTTTGCGTGTGAGTAGGGGCGGTGCCAACAATTTTTGGTCGGGGAACGAGGCTGTAAAGCCATCACAACGCTTCAATGAAAATAAATGGATGAAAAAGTACGCGTTTAATAACTGGCGTTCCCGTAAATGAGCATTGCTATGCAAATTCCTCATGTGTCTTGAGTTAAACCACCGTAAGGCAAAAGTATGAGGGGACGGGAACTGGGGATGAGTAAGGGCTAAGACCCACAACTTTTTGAAAATCGCCAAGTTCACATGCTCCTTCCAAGCATGCACCACAACCATTTGTGGCGCGGTGTTCAGCGCCGCCAAACGCTCTTTGATGCGATGCGTTTATACTGGTAAAAGCGACTGCGGCATGGATGCATGAACTAGATTCATTTGATTCAGACGAAGGCGAGCACGTGACACTGCTGCTAGGTCGATCCTCCTCTGCTTCGCCATTAAAGGAAATGGTCCACATTTGTAGATATTGAAGCAAGCATCAGCTATAGCCAAACAAGCTCACTTACAACTGTTGTTATCCTTTTAAGTGGAAAGGCTGCCCTAAACAGCGCAATTTCTCAATTTCACAATTTCTGTTGAGTAAATATGCCCCTTAATGCGTCACTGCTTAATTAGATCATTGTGCCTTGCACAACATTGATTGAGAGCCAACTGACGCCCGTTGTATCTGGAAATCATGACCACGAACACCAGCTATGAACGAAGCGACAGTTATAATTTTCCGAGCCCTAATCGCCTCATTGCCACTGGAATGAAGGCGCAGAGCTGTGAAATGCACCGAATGATCTTCAAGATGGATATTTCCGTTAAAAACCCATTGTAAATGTGTAAATCACCCCCTTCAGAAGGGCAGGTCCGTGAACTGCACCGAATGATCTTCAAGATGACTTTTCAGTTCAAAACCCCCTACAGATGTGGAGCACTTTCTTTAACCAAGTAAGTTGTCAGCCCCTATCGCTCGTTGAAACTGAGTTCAGGTGTGGGTGAAATGTCAAACAGAGTCATAAGAAGGTGACCAAGTCTGACGAATGCATGGATGGGCTCCCACGCGTTGCGCCTCACATTGCAGGGAACATATAGGGGTGAGGTGCGAATATAGTCAACAGGGGGCTATATTCACCCTCTGCTTTTTAACCTAAGTATATATATATATATATATATATATATATATATATATATATATATATATATATATATGAAACGGCGCAACACCCGCAAAACCTTCCTTACTGTTTCCTCAGGTCACTGGCCAAATCTTCCTCACAGGGACCAGATGTGAACATAAAAATGTTAAAATACACGCAGCGTATTACGCATGTGTCCGACTGGCAACGATGCAGAACATACAGCCCCAGTCACTCAGGAGCAATGCTCTGAAGCCCCAGTCACTCAGGGGTAATGCTCTGAAGCCCCAGTCACTCAGGGGTAATGCTCTGAAGCCCCAGTCTCTCAGGGGCAATGCTCTGAAATTAATTTCTAGTTGTCCTGCCAGTCACTGCTGGAATGCTCCCTGAAAACTCTTCCGCTGCAGGTTATAAGACCAGAGAATGCTTAAAGATTAAACAAAGCCAACAAATGCACATGAAGCGCATAACGGGAAACTTCTGCAATGGTCACCACCGAATCTCTCAATACTTAAACAAGTTATGAGGGTTTTAACTTTCAGACTTTGACTTCATACCAATCTCTGCCAGCGCACTGATTTGCTTTGAACCTAAAATTTCCCCGAGGTTCAAAAACAGACGGCACTAGCAAAGACACTCAAAATTGCGCGTTCCTCCGTTCCACTGCCTTTGTTTCATTTTGTTTTATGGCTTAGCCCTGGAAACATTTAGAAGAAGGATTTTGGCATTGGAGCTTTACAATGAACTTAGCTCTTAAGCCCTTATGGTGTCGCTTGCCTCTCACTCTGACAAGAAGAGCGGGCACTGTGGCGACCTTCCCCGACCAAGCCCGGCTAAGAACTTGCCATTTCAAATCTCAACTTAATCACACCGAAGCTGTTTAAAAGATGGTGGTTTAGATATGTAGTGGCACAGGACTAAGATACATTTTAACGGCCGTATTCAGCAAAATTGTCACAAATTGTTAGTTTTGGGTGATGTGAATGCGTGGAGAAAAAAGTTATATACCGACGCTATTACGCAAAGAAGTTATTTACAAACTGATCTGAGGTACGCAATGAACAGAAAGCATGCAGAAAATTGCAGCGATCAACAAACGTGACCGTGTAAATGGTGACAGGTCACGCTGATCACTGGCGGAGAGCGTACGAAAATAGCAGTCGTAGCTGGGGATTTAAGGATATTGAACTGTAGCTCGTTCACTACAATTTAGTCTCTTGAAACTTTTCCCTTGGAAAGGTCTTATATCCATAGCCTGCAATAATTACTGAAAGTCCTTATAAAATACATCCTGAGCGAAAATCTGCCAGGAACGCAATTTTTCCTGCAAGGTCGTTCGGATACGGGATTGTCTCCACATCCGACGATGGGGGGACGAATCCCCGTCCCCCCGGTGGCACCGCCCCTGCATGTGAGTGGGCAGCGCCGTACACGGCAGCCACGTGCATAGCTAACGTGCCGATTGTAGTTGATCGTGTGTGTGTTTTCCAGACTGCCTTTGGCATGGCGCGGCAGTCGGCGGTCGCGTTTTGTTCGTGACCGGTTCAGTGTTTATGTGGTGACCTCCCGGCTGTTTCTTTGTGGTCACCTGCTTTGGAACTCATTATCTACCTCAGCAATGCTTCACGTTAACAAGAGAGCCAATCACTGAACGACGAGAGCCTGCCCAGAAACCGCCCGTTCCCACAAATGCCTTCGTTGTTTTGTCACAGGTGTTCAAGTCGTGCTTTTAAACTTCCCTCCCTGGCGCTGTCGGCTGGCGCCGTGTTGATTGGCTGCCGGCGGCGTGACGCAGACCAATCAGCGATGCTCTGGCCACCTGCAGCTCACAGCTGACCTGTCGCCGTCTAGTCGCCGCCGCCGCCGCCGCCCGGCGCCGCCCGGTCCAGTACGAGCCAGAGCGGCGCGCGGTGAGGGGTGGATCAAGCGGGGCGGCCGAAAGGGAACGACCAGATCGGGACGGAGCGGACGGCGTGGAGGGAGCGACGCGGTGGGAGGCCTGAGTGGAGGACCGCCAACGCGACGGGAAAGCGGTGAGGATCTGTTGAGAGAGGCGACACAGACCGGCCTCGCCATGAAGGCGATCGTGGTGGAGCAGGCAAAAAGTGAGAAGCTTAGCGTGGACCTGAAGGCGGCCCGCAAGAGCAGCTTCGACTCGGAGGAGGTTCAGATGTACCTCAACAAGCTGACGCACCTGGTGCCCAACGCGCCCAAGCATCGCAAGCTCAGCAAGCTGGAGGTAATCCAGTGCGTCATCGACTACATCTGCGACCTCGAGGACACGCTGATGGCGAGACAGGTCAAGCCCAACACCGTCCTCAGTGAAAAGCAGAACACCCTATACCCTAGCGAGGTGAGCAGTCTACTCTTGTCGCATAAGGAAAGGATATGTGACTTGTGGCCATCCCATGCGCGCTGTACTGTCGAGACAACTAGTGGGTTTCCTCCTACGTTGTACCCTTGTGCAAGTGAAATAGTTTCACACGCATTTTAGAGAAAAAAAATCGTACGATGCGTGCAGTCGCTGTGGTCGTCCGTAAATACTAGTGCGTCGTGAACTTGTGATTAGAAAAGTGATTAGTCCGACACTCGGGCATTGAATTGTGGTGTTCGTGAAACATTGTGCGACTGCAAGTTACTTCAAACAGATAAGAGCCAAGTTCTGAAACCACTTCCTTCCATATTTTGCCTGTGAATGGGCCGACGGTAATGGTAGTAAATGCACCTACTCTATCTGATTAGCTTCAGCGTGATTCTTGATACTTCCGAGTTCCAGTATCCAGCTTGCATAGCATTCCCTTAAGCATGAATGAAGGAGGACGCGTATATCACATCGCGTGACGTCAGACCCGGAATGACGTCAGACTTAAACCTGTCTGGTCGTTAAAGTGAGCGGATCCAACGGACGAGTGGCATCTCCCTGTCACCTGCTTCGTGACGTTCGGCCCCACCAGTGTCCCCCAGCCCGGCATGTGTTTTGATGCCGGCGCTGAAAACCCAGCCGTGATGAGAAAACGCATCACCGCGTTTAAACACTCCCTCTCGTACCTGTGTTTTGTCTGCCGGGGTGTCGAGGTGTCACGGCCGGATCGTGCGGCTGGTTCTGTGTACTGGGGGCGCGCCCTTCCCTCACCTCGGACGGAGCGGCGGCTGGCGCGCTGCGGGGCCGTTCTCCCGGCCGGCGGGGCGTTCGTGACCGGGCTCTGCGGGAGCGCCGGCCGAGCGGCACGACCCGTGCGCCGCGCGCCGCCCCGCCACCGTGACGCCCGCTCGCCGCCGCTCGCCGCTGTCACGACCGCCGTCTGTTGCAGGCGCCGGCGGCCGAGCGCCAGTCTTGAGCTGCCCTGACGTCACTCACCAACAATGGCGTCACCGGTCGTGACGTCAGCCGTGAGCTCCTGTGACGTCACCCACGAACATCCGTGGTTGCAACCAAGACCGGTCGTGAGCTGTGGTGACGTTACCGACGGAGAGCCGTGACGTCAGCCGGGACTTCGCCCGGTCGTGACGTCCGTCGTGAGCGCTCTGAGGCCATCGTGAGCCGCCGTGACGTCCACCACCAGCAGCCGTGACATCGATCGTGACCCGAAGCCGTTACGTCAGACGTGCGCGGCGTGACGTCACGCGGCCATGGCTGCCGTGTGATGGGTCACGCCGTGCGCGTGCGGCGCCATCCGTGGTCCGCAGGCGGCGGCTCGTCCCGTTTCCTTTTTATTGGGAAACATCCGGCTGACAGCTGGCGGCTGGTGGGGGAGGGGGAGGGGGCTGCACGTGCAGGCGCCCCCGCCCCGCGACCAAACACACATCACCGGCCGTGGACGGAACGCGGCCGCATGTGCACATGTCCGCAACGGCAGCCAGCCGCCGGGGGAGGGGGAGGGGGGGGGGGCGAGAGATGCACGTGCAGCAGTTGTCCCCCAACGAGCAGCTGTCGGCGCGAGGGGCGTGGGCGGTGTTGTGCCCTCCCCTCCCTGCGGCCGGTAGCCGCGGCCGGCTGCCGCAGCCAGCAGCAGATTGGCCTACTCAGACGCCGGATCTTGTCAAGTGCATTACGTAGCTGCATCGGTTTACTAGAGTACTCCCGACTGTGATAGTAGCCCATGGGACTGGCGCCGCTGCCAGACGGGGCCGTCCCTGCAGAGATGGGTCAGTACAAACTAATGACTAGACGGTGGGGTGCGTCATTGCATGAGTCTGTGTGCGCGTGCGTGATCTTCGTAGAGTGACTGCGCCATCCTCCTGGGGAATTATATCGAATCAGAGGTATAACGCATCGGTGAATGGTGCCCGCAGTTGGACTGAATGCGGTCTTTGGTACGTCTTGTATATTAAGTGATGCTTCAATCATAATTATTGAATGTGTGCTAATTATCACCGTCTTGCGGCTGGTCTACAATATCTCGTGAAGAATATATATTATATCAAAATATTTCGACGTATTTTCACCAACGCACTCCGAATGAAACTAATCCGTGGATCACTTTCGGCGATGGTAACACGACGGCTGATCACAAAATACATATACAATACGTGCATAACAGCCTTCATACACAACTTTGAGCGAAATCGGAAGTTGTTTCTCACATGGGGGAATGTGACGGGCATGGCTTGCCTGCTTGCTTGTGACTGACGGCCCATCGTTCTCGCTGGCCCCTCCCGGCAAACATAAACGGCAGTGGCTCCGACTCAACGACAGTGGCCCCGCCCCGACGACAGCGGCCCCGACCTAACGACAGTGGACCCGACTTACCGACAGTGGCCCGACCTAACGACAGTGAATCCGACTCGACGGCAGTTGCCCTGACCCAACGACGGTGGTCCCGACATAACAACAGTGGCCCCGACTCAACGGCAGTGGCCGCGACTCGACGACAGTGGCCCCGACTCAACGGCAGTGGCCGCAACTCGACGACAGTGGCCCCGGCTCAACACACACTCCAACTGACTGAGGATCACCGGCTTCGACAATGACCACTGAGAGCGCGTGGCAATCGCTTCCGACGCTTATCTGTCCGTGACGCCCTGCCGTTCGGGTGGCGTGCGTTCCCACGACATTGAGCCACACCGGCGCGGCCCTGGGCCAGCTGGTCCAGCTGGACCGCTGCGGCCCCAGCGGCGCGCCTGTGACGGACGGAGCCCCAGGTGCGTCGTCACCTGGCGGCGCGCCGCAGCTGTCGCGGCCGGCGCTGTGACGGCCCGCCCGTCGGCCGACCGACGGCAGCCGGCGGCCAGCGGCGAGAGCGCGACTCCACGGCGAGCGGCCCCCCCCCTCCCCCTCCCCACTCCACCGGCTCTGGGGCTGGACCGTTGACAGCACGCCAGCCACCAGCAGCCACCAGCCACCAGCAGCGATGGTGGCTGGCTGCTTGCGCGGCCGTCGGGAGAATGCTGCGGCAATGGTCTGACACGCGACCGCCGAGAGAAAGCCCCGTGCGCGGCTGCCGGGCGGCCGCGCCATCGTGGATAGAAAGCCACGCCGGGGCTCGCCCACGTGATCATCGATAGAGCGCCCGCGATGTTTAGCCACGCCATTATCGATAAGAAGCCCCCCAAGTTGTCAGCCGTGCGGTCTTCGATAGAGAAACACAGCTGCTGGTCGTCGATAGAGCAGCACAGCAGTTGGTCGTCGATAGAGCACCACAGCCGTCGGTCGTCGATAGAGCACCACAGCTGCCGGTCGTCGATAGAGCAACACACCCGCCGGTCATCCATAGAGTAACACAGTCGTCGATAGAGCATTACAGACGCCGGCCATCGATGGAGCAGCACAGCCGCCGGTCCTTGATAGACCACCACAGTCGCCGGTCGTCGATAGAGCAGCACAGCCGCCGGTCGTCGATAGAACAACACAGCACAGCCGCCGATCGTCGATAGGGCAACACAGCCGCCGGTCGTCGACAGAGCAGCACAGCCGCCGGTCGTCGATAGAGCAGCACAGCCGCCAGCACAGCCGCCGGTCGTCGATAGAGCAACACAGCCGCCAAGTCGTCGATAGACCACCACAGCCGCCGGTCGTCGATGGAGCAACACAGTCGCCGGTCGTCGATAGAGCAGCACAGCCGCCGGTCGTCTATAGAACAACACAGCACAGCCGCCGGTCGTCGATAGAACAACACAGCCGCCGGTCGTCGATGGAGCACCACAGCCGCCGGTCGTCGATAGAGCAACACAGCCACCGGTCGTCGATAGAGCAACACAGCCGCCGGTCGTCGATAGAACAACACAGCCGCCGGCCGATCACTCGACTGTAAGCCGCTCGCGAGAAGCACAGTAATGGTGTGCGACGTTCGCGAGCGGCCGGCCTCATCATCGTCAATATAAGCAGCTTGGGTGGTTTCGAGGTGAACCTCACCTGCGCCTAATCCGGCCGTCGCACCGGAGGTATTTCGCATGTTGCTAAACCGATTTCATCAGCAGTGCCATGAGCTCGCTGGTAGCCAGACTCGAATGGGTTGGTCTTGCGTTTGTTGGACTATTCTTGCTGAGTCTTATAGATGCTTCTCAGCCCAATCTAGTACAGCTCAAAAACGGACGCCGCTGCGGGCGAAATCAGTCATCTTGAAACAAATAGCAAACTCGTGTGTAGATCAACTGTCGCCATTCCTCTCCTTATTGCCTTTTCATGCTCCTCTCCATGTACAGCTGCTTAGTGCTCGGCGTAATATCCCAAGGTTGTGACCAACCTGCACAAAGAAGAGCTATTTCAATTAATGACCAGCATACGGCTGGCCAAAACCAGGACGATCACACTCGTCTGCAAAACTAGCCCATCGCCGTGGCCCACGGGCTTCCAAGAGAACTCAAACAGGCCCCAGGGCCGAGCCAATATGATGCCATATATGGCTAGTTATCGATGGGATGGGAGCGTCTGGAGCCCCACTATCTCATATCTCATAAGCCCAAGGGCGGTGAATTACAGCATATCATGTGCACCACAACGGCTCTGACGCGCCCCGATGTCCGTCCGCCGCCGGCAGCCGAGGCGCCGGTTCCTCCCGAGCGTCGGATGGTGCCGAACTGGCCCGGGGTGAGCCGCGAGCTTTCCCGGCCCTCACTCTTCCCGCCGCTCCAGCGCGCGGCGGCGCCCGGCTGCTGCGGCCAGACCGGGTCTGCAGGCTGCACGCGGCGGCGACAGCGGCGGCGGCGGTGGCTTGGTCGCCTTGCAGGGTAGCTGCAGGCGGCGTGGGGCACCGCTGTCCGGTGCCGCTGCAGGTGCAGCCTTTTACGGCGGTCCGGCCCTATCCGCGGTGGCCAGCCCGACGGCTGTCTGGCTTCGGAGCGGTGGCGCGCGGCGGTCACCTGAGTTGGACGCCACCATCGCTCTCGTTGGCAGGGTTACCTGGGCTGGACTCCACCGGTCGTCCCCGTCAGCATGGTCACCTGAGTTGTACTCCACCAGTCGTCCCCGTCAGCAGGGTCACCTGGGCTGGGCTTCACCAACGCCCCCGTCAGCAGGGTCACCTGGGCTGGACTCCACCATCGCTCTCGTTAGCAGGGTCACCTGGGCTAGACTCCACCGGTCGTCCCCGTCAGCAGGGTCACCTGGGCTGGGCTCCACCAACGCCCCCGTCAGCAGGGTCACCTGGGCTGGACTCCACCGGTCGTCCCCGTCAGCAGGGTCACCTGGGCTGGACTCCACCGGTCGTCCCCGTCAGCAGGGTCACCTGGGCTGGACTCCACCGGTCGTCCCCGTCAGCAGGGTCACCTGGACAGGACTCCACCGGTCGCCTCCGTCAGCAATGTCGAATGGGCTCAATCACCTGCTTCCTACAGCTGGACTACTAGATTTCTGTAATATGCCTGTTCTGGCCTGTAATATGTCTGTTCTGGGCAGCTTGAGCCGCGGCGACCGCAGACAGCTTGAGCTGTGGTGAGGCGTTCTGATCCGTCGCTCTTGGCACTGCCGGCAAAATCAGTTACATAATTGTCTGTACTGGTCAGCCACGTACTTAACCAGGGGTGCAGCCAAGAGGCTTCAGACCGTTTTTGTACTTTTTCACCACAGATGGCTTCCGAAAGAAAGTTTAAAATCGGCGCGGGCCGGCCGTCTCCTCGGCCGACGGCGGTGCCGAGATACAGAGCCGGTCCCCACCACACGTGGTCCGGCCGTTTCCTCGGCCGACGGCGGTGCCGAGCTACAGAGCCCGTCCCCACCACACGTGGTCCGGCCGTCTCCTCGGCCGATGGTGGTGCCGGGCTGCAGAGCCCGTCCCCACCGCACGTGCTCCGGCCGTCTCCCCGGCTGCCGTTCGCTGAACAAACAAGCCGCCGGTTGGCCGAGCCGCGGGCATTCAGCCCGCCTGATTTGTCTTCGCGCCGCGCCGCCTGACGGCTGAAAGCGGCCACGAATGCGGCGCGGCATGCGGCGCGTCGTGACTGCCGCAGGTGCGCCGCCCGCCACCCGCCGCCCGGTCAGCTGACGCGCCACGTCTGGCTGTGCCGGGGTTAGGGGCAGTTGGGGTGATTTGTCATCTAGCTGGGCTGACCGCAGAGTCACGGCGCCACTGGAGCGCCGGCGTCTGAGGCGGAGGTGACAGTGGAGGTGTCTGAATAGAGACTCAGCTCGGCCGCGCAGCAAAGACAGGAAGGAGAGCCGAAGACGAATGGCCCGTTCATCGGCAATGCGAGGAAAAGTGGTCGTGGAGCGGGGATTCACGGCGTCAGAGGCTGCAGCAGCCTTATCGTCTCGGAAGGTTTGGACAATTCGCGAGGGTATTGGAAAGCCCAGAAAGGCCCAAAAGGACTAGGATACTTTGTAAATAAACGTCTGGCACAAGGATATGACAGCCACGACGGCCTGCCACTGAAAAAAAACACGGAACGAGACGAGAGAGACAAGATGAGACGAAACGCACGAGACGATGTGACACGACAGAGTGATAAGATCTTTTAACACATAATATGCCTTTGCTTTCATCGTTATCTTCCCCTTTTTCGACATATTTTTTAGGCGTGAAGCATCATCCATTGAAAGACATAGGCTTTAACGAAAAATCCTACAGCGCTTAAAGTCACGTCCATTTAACCAATTAGAATACCTGTGACGAATTACATTGCGATGACAATGAGTTGGCGCTTGACAACCGCCGACCGTTTCTCCCGTGTAACAGGCCTGCACTTTGAATCGGCGTCGCGGACTTATCAGGCTGATCCCCTGCGCCGCAGAAGCAAGCTCGGAAGCCCAGGTGCGCCGCCAGATAAGCAATCAACGTTCCCACTGACCCTTCCCGGCCACGCCGCCGCCTCAGCAGCGGCGCGCACAGACGGCAAAGGCCAGCGGCGTGTCAGCAGCCCATGCGCTGGGGGCCATGCGCATATCACCCCGACGTCTGCGACCAGGGCACCGCTAAATTGGGCACGGCATGCGGCAGGCACGCAGCGGGAGAGGCTCAACGCTGCACAGGTGCGGGGCAGAACACGCGGCCGATG